CAATGCTATACATTGAACTTAGCACCTTAACCTTGCCAAGCTTGACCAAAATATTTGGTTAGCCATACTCTTCCTAACAGAGGACACTGATCAATATCCATCCCTGAATTTATTTTTTCCAGTTCTGCCTTAATTTTCCTGTCCATATATCCACCCTCAAATAGCTGTGTCCAATGTTTTTTTTTAAAGATTTGATTTGTGTGATTGGTGTTTTGCCTGTATATATGTCTATGTGAGGGTTCCAGGTTCCCTGGAACTGGAATTACAGACAGTGAGCTGCCATGTGGGAGCTGGGAACTGAACCCAGGCTCTCTGGAAGAGCAGCCAGTACACTTAACCACTAAGCCATCTCTCCAGCCCCCTCAATGTTTTTTTTTTAATTTTAAGTTCTACCTATTTTTAGTTAGTAACGAATATATTAAATATCTTACTCATTTAAATATTTTATTTTTATGTGTATGAGTGTTTTGCCTGCATTTAAGTGTACCATACACATGCAATGCCCACAGAGTCCAGAAGAGGGCACTAGATCTCCTGGTACTGGAGTTACAGACAGTTGTAAACTCATGTGGGTGCTGGGAATATAACTGGGTTCCCCTGCAAGAGCAGCCAGTACTCTTAGCTGCTGAGCCATCTTGACAATCCCACGTTACCCAGTTCTGAGTATTGTTCACAGTTATACTGTTTAGTGACAGCTATACCATTGATGACCCTCACCACCAGTTCTGAGTATTGTCCACAGAGTGACCCTCACCACCAGTTCTGAGTGTTGTCCACAGTTATACTGTTGAGTGACCCTCACCACCAGTTCTGAGTGTTGTCCACAGTTATACTGTTGATGACCCTCACCACCACTTCTGAGTGTTGTTCACAGTTATACTGTTGAGTGACCCTCACCACCAGTTCTGAGTGTTGTTCACAGTTATACTGTTGATGACCCTCACCACCAGTTCTGAGTATTGTTCAGTTATACTGTTGAGTGACCCTCACCATCCACTTCCCCACTCGAAGGTCCATGCCCATTAACTCAGAGTATCTCTGCCCCTTCCTCTTAGCTCCTAGCAAACACTACCTGCTTTCTATCTCTGCAAATGTGAATCACACCTTGTTAGTCATTTTGTGATGCACTTATTTCACCTGGCTTGGAGTTTGCAAGGCTCATCTGCGTCACAACACAAATCAGTGTTTTTTTTTTTTGTTTTGTTTTTGGTTTTTCGAGACAGGGTTTCTCTGTAGCTTTGGAGCCTGTCCTGGAACTAGCTCTTGTAGACCAGCCTGGCCTCGATTCACAAAGATCCACCTGTCTCTGCCTCCCGAGTGCTGGGATTAAAGGCGTGCGCCACCACTGCCCGGCTTCAGTGTTTCTTTTTAAAGCTGAATAAATCCCCGTGTGTTCAGACTACACTTTGTCTATCCACTCATAGACATTTATGGGGTTTCCAGCTTTGGGTATTGTGAAAAAAGATTGGTGTGAATGTTAGTATGAAGATGCTCTCTTTGGATCCCGGCTTTCAGTGCGTGTGGACGTACATGCACCTATAGGTGAAATCGTTGGACCCTATGGTAGTTATGCATTGATTTTTTTGAATAATTATTATGTTGTTCTCCACAAAGGTAACACCATTTCATATTCTTGGTGGCAATGTGCATATGGTAATTTTATATTTTACAAAATAGCATCATACCATTAATTTATTGATTTCATTCGGAACAGTGTTTTTCTTTAAAATGAAAATTACATTTACTTATTTGTGTATGTATATTCATTTATGGGGGCGGGGTATGTGCCATGCCTGTGTATGGAGGTCAGGGAACAACTTTCAGGAATTGGTTCTCAGCTGGACATAGAGCTCCATGTTGAGCTGGGTTTTTCTGGGGGGGGGGGGTTCTAAGAGGGTCACCTGTGGGAGGAGCTACAAAGAGCTGCCACCTGTAGACCACCAACTGCAGGGTGAGGTCCTCTGATGAAAATTCCAGCCCTGGTTTGTCTGCGTGCCTTCACCAGGTGTCACCTTTCTGTGTGAAATGGAGGCAGAACACGCCTGCGCTTTTTCTAGGTTCACCGCCTGTGGATTAATGATCTTGCCTGCGATCAGGTGTGCGCTTCTTTGCACGATTCCCAGGAACCACACCATGTACACTGTAGCATGCGGGTGTCCCTGGCTCTGACCTGAGTGTGCTGTCTGTTTCTAAGGAGACAGAGCTGCCTCCACCCCCTCTCCTGCCTCTGCTGAACTTTGCACTCACAGTGATGAAAAATTAACTGGGCTAATGTTTCCCTCCCAAGGACAAGGACAAAGTCTGCATGGCAGGCCTGGCTGGATCCCAGGAGACTAGGTGCCAGCTGAAGTCGTAGCCAACCCTGAGCCCTCACCTATTCAGTGCCCACAGGAGGAGGGGCTATTTCTCCCCCTTGTTCAGAACTTTGTGGAACTGGCCTTGTGCCCCAAATGTTCTCACAGGGAGACTTGAGGGAAAAAATCCCAGTGCTCAGGAGGCAGAGGCAGGAAGATCTCTGAGTCTGAGACCACCTCATTTATTGAGTGAGTTCCAGGACAGCTAGAAAAGAAAGAAAGGAAAGAAAGAAGGGGAGGGAGGGAGGGAGGGAGGAAGAGAGGGAGGGAGGAAGAGAGGGAGGAAGGGCGCTCTCAGACGTGCAGGTAGGTACAGCAGTTTTCTTGCAACTCAGGTGGTCCTTGTCACAGACGCTTGTTGAGTCGCACAGGTGTGTCTGTCTACTTATTTTCTTCCCTCAGAGAAATGAATGGGTGGGTAATGGTCCCTTCTGGAGCCTCAGTGACTTAAAGGTTCTTCCACACAGCTGACTCCTCTTCTCTCCCCTTCTCTCTGCAGCTTTTCTCTCTCCTCAGGCTCTCTCCTTTTCTCCAGGGTGCAAATAGCTTCGCTTAGATGTGGCTTCCCCTGTGGGCGAGGGACCTGTCCTGGAGAACAATCCTAAGGCTTCTAACTTACTTTCTAGATTCACCACGTTGTCCCGGCGAGAGAATGGAGGCTCAGCAAGATGAAGGGTCAAGAGCCAACAATCAAAATGGATCAGGGACGGAGCCTCAACACCTTGGACTTGACCTGGCTGCCTCACGAAGGCTAAACTGCCTCGGTTTGCTGAACTTGACTGGAAGATGATTGGTAGATCCCTTTCTGTCCTACTAAGCACACCTTCATTCCTATCTCTTGGTGCTTCTCTGGTCTGTGAGCATCTTGTGCCCTAGGACCTTCTTCCTCTTCCACTGTAATTTCCCAACAGCAGCAGACTTGTGACAAGGAAGTGCTGGAGAGACAGAAGCAGGATCTGACAGAACCCAGCTTCCCTGGCTGCGTGGTATCAACACGGGCCTCTGGCGTGGGTCCACTCCGATCTTGGACAGGAGGTGGAGAGGAATGGGCCTGGGAACATTTCTGGCAATCTCAGAATTAGGCACCTGTGAGAAGAGCTTTTGTTTTGCAAATTGTGTCAAAGACGCCCTTTGCAACTCCAGGCCCAAGAGCAAGACCTCAAAAACAAAACAAAACAAAACACCTGATTTTAAATCTTGGCTCCCTTCCTCAGGGTCATGCCTTCCAGGCAAATATGGGCGTGGACTTCGAGGGCAGACGCAGGACTGTCTGGGTAGAAGACAGCGGTTAAGACAGCCTACCTTTCCAGTCTCTTGATAAGGGCTGGGAAGTCGAGTGGAAGAGGAAGGCCACAGCCACGATCTAACAGGAGGGCAGGGACCGGCTTGTTAAGGTTCACTGGGTCTCAGGGATCATCCATTTAGGACTCGGCCTCCGGGATGTGGAAGGGGAGGCCTAGAAAACCACAGTCTCTGACGAGCTGTGGCTGCTGGTGGGGCATCCTCGGTAACAGAGCTGGGAGCCCCTGCAGCTTCTAGGCTGACTTTGTGGGATTGGCCACACCTCACAGGGCTTTGTAACTCCCACCGGCTCTTGGTTTGCAAATAAACTTCTTTCTCACCACGGGAGGTGGTGGAGGGGTTTCCCATCGTTTAAAACAAGCAATAGCTTTAGCTACTGGGCTAACCTGATGGGGAGGCGGCAACAGGGTAAAAGACCTGAGGGCCTGCTGTAACGCCCCCAAACCGGTGGAGGGACCCATGGGCAGTCAGCCCTGATTTCCGCTAGTTGGGGGGAAAGCCCCAGGGCTACCCAAAGTCAGGTTCTACTGGCCTCTCACCTAGGCTAATTTTGAATTAATTTCCAGAATCCTCCCGGCTCGCTCCACTTTGTGCGAGTCCACTGTTTTGTTAACGAAGCTCTCTTGCTTGTTTGGCGTCGAATTTCAGTAACACCCTGTAATGTTAATTCTCCCCCTCCCCCAAAGATAAATCCTAAAGCGCCCCCATTCATTCCTTCAGGAATTCAACAGATGTCTTTGAGGCCCGTTTTCTGCAAAGAGATTGGTTCACTAGGCCCAAGGGACCCCTGGCTTCAGCTATTGTTCAAGTTGTCACTGAGGTCTCTAACTCCACTTTTAAGTCTCCCTCTCCCCCTTCCCAACTCCCTCCTCCGCAGTCTCGGGGCAGTTAGCCGGTCAGATCTCACCCAGCAGGAAAACAAAAACAAAAAACACCAAACCAAAGCAAAACAACCCGGGCCACTGAGAGAGTTCAGTGCGCCCCGGCTTCCTGGGCTTGGAACAGAACCCCTCTTCGTGTTCGGGTCCTTTCCCGAGAGCAGCGAGCCCTAGGCGGCACACGCCTGTTCCCTGCGAGTCTAACCCTCTCTAGTCCCTGCAACTGCCTCTGAGCGTCTTGAGGGCGGCGAGTCCCCAGGAGTCCGGTCCCGCGGCACTTGGCAGAGGTGACGGCCGCCGTGCCCGGTGGCCCACGTGGGCGCGCTTGGCGGCGCGGGGCGGGGAAGGCCGTGGGTCCTCCCCGGAGCAGGGCGCGGGGGAGGAGCGGGGAGCCCCGGCGGCGAGGGGGCGGCGACAGCGCTGGGAAGGAGGCTGCACGCGGAGCTGCGTGAAACGTAGACTTGGGAGCGGGCGGGAGAGGAGCCGGGAGCGCGGCAGCACGGCTCTGGCCGGCCCTGCGAGGAGGCGATCGCAGGGGAGGAGGAGGAGCAGGAGGAGGAGGGCTGCAGAGGCGGAGGGATCTTCTCACCAGAGCCAGCCAGGCCAGCAAGTTTGGCTGGGGGTTGGACTTTCCTTCCCGGAGGCGGCACCCAAACAGCTACCCCGTGCGGAAACCCAAACTTTCTACTGCCACTCCGAGTCTCGCGGCCGCCGCCTCCGCCCCGCGCGCCCGGGGCCTGCCCGTCAATTCGTCGGTCCTCGTGGAGCTGCTCGGGCGCCGTAGTGCTCCTGATCCCCGCAGCTGCAGCGCCGCGGCCCCGGCCCAGAAGCCGGGGCAAGTTCTCCAGAGTTAGACGCGAAGTTTCGGGCGCGGCGCGGGCCGAGCTGCCCCTGTGCGCCCCCGGCGTCCCCAGTGCGCCCAGTCCCGCCGGGGGCGCCGGTGACCCTCCCGTGCCAGCCATGTCGTCCATCCTGCCCTTCACCCCCCCGATCGTGAAGCGCCTGCTGGGCTGGAAGAAGGGCGAGCAGAATGGGCAGGAGGAGAAGTGGTGTGAGAAGGCGGTCAAGAGCTTGGTGAAGAAGCTCAAGAAGACCGGGCAGCTGGACGAGCTGGAGAAGGCCATCACCACGCAGAACGTGAACACCAAGTGCATTACCATCCCCAGGTGGGGGCCCGGAGCAGCGGGGGGGCGCGCCGGCCCAGCCCCCTAGGGCGGCCTGGGTGGAGAGGGAGGGGGTGTGCGTGTGTGCGCGCGCGTTAGTGTAGGGGACAGGCAGTGGGTGGAGGGACCCCAAACAAAACCTTCTTCGGATTTGCCCAGGCTCAGAGCCCAGGCTTCCATGCGGCACTCTGGCATCCAGACCTCAAAGATCGCTAGCCGCCTCTGGGCAGCAGGGGTGCTGCTGAGCTTGGCCCCCCACTCTCCGTGCTTTGGGCTCTAAGTAGAGGCCCCGCTTTGTTCGGCTCTGCCGGCCGAGCCCCTCCTCCGCCGCCGCCTCCCGCCCCGCGCTCGTGGAGGTGGTGGCGTGTGTCCCTTTCTTTTCTTCAGCTCTGTTCCCCCACTTTTCTTCGTCTACAGGAATGCAGTCGGTACAGCTGTGGGTGAGGAGCGGGAGCCCGTTGATTGACAGATTCCTTCTTCGCTCTTTCTTTGCCTTGGGATTAGCATTTTTATCGAGTATTTTTAGATTTGGTTGTGCCAGCCTCCCACCCCCTGTGCACGCATGCACGCACGCACTTAGTTGCAGAGCAAAGCACCGACTTTGAAGCGGGAGAAACAAGTGGCAGAAAGTAGGGGCATTCCCTCTTCTCACCCCACCCCTGCCTTGTTTGCCATCATTTTAATCGAGAGTTTGCGGGTGCCGAGAACCGAGCAGGCAGCTCCAGACAGACAACAAAACACCCCAGAGCTGGCCTCCCATCCTCCCTGCATTCCTGTAGAGCCCTCTTTTCCCAAAACGCTTTGCCATCTGTCCTGACCTCCTTTATCCTTCCCGTCGGGCTAGAGGAGTCCGGCGGGAGTTCACAGATGGCTGATGGAAGGGGTCAGTGACTTCACTCCCAGGGCCTCCCCAGAGCATAACCGCGACTGGAAATTGGGGGTGAGGGCACCTTAGCCTTCTGTCTCCACTTCTCAAGACACCTTTAAAGATTGATTCCAGAGGAGGGACAGGTGGGAATGTTTGGTGGTGGGGGTGGGGGTTTGTCCTAGGCTGCAGAGAAATGGAGAGATGGCTCCCATGGCCTAAGACAGAGAGGTCATCGTCCTTCTGGGCCAGGGTGGCCTCCATCCTTGGCCACCTGCTCAAGGCAGCTGTGTATGTGCTGCCAGCCCTGACAGTAAGGCACAAAGCAACATCTGTCCACAGGAACCCAGGGTCAGCCTTCCCTGAAAATAAACACCACATATGGTGGGAATGCCTGCCTAAAAAATAGTTAAAAAACAAAACAAAACAAAACACAAAACCAACCCCCAAACCTGGGTGAGTGGATCCTATCAACAAAGGGGGAGGGAAGGCAGTCTGGGAAGAACACTTGGCCTGTGAGCCTCTGCCAGCTGGCTTTAGGGGAGGGGTGGGGATGTGGTGGTCAGAGGCACCTGGGTTTTAGCTCCGGTTCCGGTTCTTCATTCTTCTTTAGCCTTTTGATAAAGTGGGATGGTTGAGTCTCAGGTCTCTGTCAGATCCTGAGAAATGGCCTTTTCCTAATATGCCTGGGTGCACCCAGACCGATTGCTTTATGATTTGAGCCCCCTCCTCGGAGTGATATCATTTACGAAACAGCTGTGCAGGGTGTTTCATAGTGTACAAGGCACTGTCAAACGGCCTGGCGAAGGCCAGGGAGAAGGCAGAGCTGGGAAACAGAAACGGCAACCAGGTCTAAAATGATTTTGACTTTGAACCAGATGGAACGTCACAGGAGAGAGGGAAAACTTAAGACTGGGTCTAGCATACCCTTTTCCCCAGGCTCTTTTGGACCCTGGGAACCAGAAGCATCCTTATCCAGGGTGGGCGGTGGAGCTCCATCTGGAGGGTTCTCAGTTAATCTTTGGGCTGGGGGCATCTTAGAGGAGAGGCTGTTTTCCTTAGCCTGCATTTGCCTTCTGACCTTGCTTTCCCTTGCAGCCCTTCCCAGCCCGGGACAGTTGGAGGTTTGTGTGCTTCTGAGAGTTCATGCTGACCACCCTCACACCACCTGGACCTTCTAGGGCTAGGCATCTTCAGCGTGCACCTAGAAGGTGGGGTGTGGAAGCAGGGTTTTGGTTGGTTGGTTCTTTGGTTGCACTGAGGATTGAACCTAAGGCTTCTGAGGTGTTAGGCAAGCCCTCTGCTCCTGACCTACACACTCCTAGCTCTGGGATTGTTTTCTTTCCTCTCTTCTCAACTAGAGAGCCCCAGTTGCTTGGGTGGATCCAGACAAAGGTGGATTTCCATCCCTGGATTTTGTGCCCACGCCTCTGGGTCACGCTGTCTCCCTTGGCAACAGCTGCTGCTGTTTTGGCCATGGGCAGAAAGCTAAAGGCCACGGCTTGGGGAGGTGACTAGCTGGCTTCATGCTAGCGCTATCCCGGTGGCTGCTAAGCCCCAGGGTTGCGTGTTGCTTGTCACATTGCTGTCTTTGAGAACTAGGGCTTTGGAAAGTAGACAAAGGAAAGTGTGTGACTTAGTCACCCGCTTCGTGTGGGGCAGGAGGCGGGGACACTGGGTGCTTCAGCACATTCTGTCAAATCTGGAGCGCCCGGCTTTGACGACTCTCAGTCTGAGATATGGAGTGGACATCTTGAGCAGCAGAGGCACCGTTTGGCTGTGGTCGCTGTCTGCCACATGCCGGGTTGGTTCCCCCAGCTTTAGGCGATTTGAATGATCCGGAGAGCTGGAGTGGTACAATCTGGAGAGATGAGGTGTAGGAATTTGATCTTACGCCACAAAGGGGAGAGCAGGGCATCTCAGATCTGACAGGCGTGGGGCAGAGCTTGGGTGAGTTCCACACCAGCAGTCCACTGCTTGAAAGCCTGAGAGGAGCCACAGGTGTCCTCCTCTCCAGTTCCTGCACGGGTAGGTGAAGCATCTGCCTCTGAGAGCGCGCTCAGCAGCAGGGGCACCTTAGCCTCCTTTCCCGCAGGCAACCGCAGCTCACACTACGGTGTGTGGTCCATGGCTCAGTTGTTTCCAGCTGGACCATGCTAAAGGTATTGCTGGTTTAGAAAGTTATCTTAGGCTCTCTTACAACAGAGCATCAAGCCCAGAGAAAATTGGAGAAGTGAAGTAGGTCTCAGAGGGAGCATCTCCTACCTCTTTGTTCACCCCCTTTGTAGTGTGACCTCCTCCTGGGGCCCTCAGGAATGTTGCTCGGCTACCCTCAACTGGTGGAGAGAGGAAAAGTGTCTCCACCTGTACCACAGCTTTCTCAGGCTTCTGCGGACAAACACCAAGGCTATAGATGATGCCCTGTAGGTCTCTGCACCTGAGGCCTCCACCCTCTGTAAACCATCGGCAGGCAGCAAGCCTACTCCCAGCTGCCGTCCAGGCAGCCCATCCGATAGGGGCTGCAGGACACAGGGGAACTAGCTGACTAGAGGGCTGACCCAAGTGTCATTTAGCATTCTCTGGTTGGGGGGGAAATTTGACCCTTGCAGCTTGGGGCTGGATGTTGGGACCCATATATGTTGCAGACAACATTTTACTCTCCATCTGTGATCAGGCCTTGTTTTTGTGTATGAGGTGATATTAACCAGACCCATGCCCTTTAGTCTCTGAGTCAGTGTTCTAAGTTCTCCTGGGGAAGGATGCAGAGATACATTTGAAAAGATAGAGGGACTTTTGGAGAATGGTGAGGTGGGGTGGGGAAGATGCTTATGATAAATATTTTAAATGTGAAGCCACAGCTGTAGAATAGTAAACAGTGACAGCCACCTGTTTCCTCAGGGGAAAGATAAACCTCAGCCTCCCTAGAATTCAGGTTCTGGGTCTGCCATTTTAAAATCATTTTTATTGTATTAATGTATTTGTGTGTTTGTGTGTGGGGGAAACCAGAGGACAGCTTGCAGGGGTTGGTTTTCTCCTTCCACTATGTGAGTTCCGGATATGGAGCTCAGGTCACCAGGCTTGGTGGCAATCATCTTCATTTCCTGAGACATCTCGCCAGTCCAGAACCTGCCTTTTGCTACTTGAATGGGTTCGGGACGAGCAGGTTTCAGAACCCTCCTGTCTGCACCTGTGAAATCGGGGTGAGAGGAGGGACCAGAAGAGTTTGCAGATGTGCTGGGGAGATGTGTGTGTTTTGTCTTCTTTCCTTAGCACACATTGATGGGAACTTATTCAATCACTTATCAAGGGCCTTTCGAGATGGCAGTGCCTGGGCACTTGTATTCCTGGAGCTCAGCCATCCTACCCCAAGATGCAGGGCTCCCAGGGTGGTTGAGGGCTCCACAGTGTTCTGTGTTGGGAGCAGGTATGTGTGTGTGTGTGCGTGTGTGTTGGGAGGTGATGTGTGTTGGAAAGCTGAAGTTGGGATCATGGTCTGAGGAGTCTGGACTGACTGCAGGAAGCCCATGGGAACTGGTCTTGTTTTTATTATTATTATTAATGTCTATTTGTTGTACAAACTAGATTTCATTAAGACATTTTCAAGTCTTGTATTTTGCTCATATTTATCTCCCATTACCCTCCCTGATCTCCTGTTCCCCACTGGTTTCCTTGTAGACCCTCTTCTCTTTCATCTCTTACTTACTTGAAAGAAGGAAAACTCTAGATTCTGCACATGAAAGTGTGCTATGTCTGTCTCAGTCTGGTGTTTGCCTAACATTGTGTGTGATCTTCAGTTCTACCCATTTCCCTTGAAGCACTTCGTGTGTGTGTGTGTGTGTGTGTGTGTGTGTGTGTGTGTGTTGGGACCCGAGGCCCTGTGTCTTGAATGACATCTTCATCTTCTGACTTTTGCCAAGCAGACAGATGCCATGAATCTCTTACCTGTCACCTGCACAGCCGTGCTTGTGGGCTGAGTACTGCCTAGGACCCAAGTTTAAAGTGTTTTCTCTTTGAAGTAAAAGACAACTTAGTGTTGTAAACCTGAAATTCAGGTTTCCTTCCTGGGATCAGGGACTCTAGCAGATGACTGTGAGTGCTTAGCCTTTCCTTTTGGTGCAACTTGGCTTTTCGTGTCCCT